CCCCCCCCCCCCCCCCCATGTCGGCTGTGTTGTCTCTATTTTAGACTGGTGCAATGTTGCGCGTGGGCGTAGATTCCGTGGTGCGGTGGTGGAGACAACCCACAACTCTCTGTGCCACAACGGACTCATTGTTGTTGCGCAACATCTTCCACGTAACTCTCGTTTTGCGAGTACAGGGTGCAGACTGGGTTATTTTCAACATCGACGCAATCAAATCCGATTAACAAGAATCTCATTGATGCGTTCTTGAATCTGATTGCTTTCAGGTGCCTCCACAACCGACGAGATATTAAAGATTCGGCTACAGCTTACGAAGCCGGTAACGTGGATACCTCTCATTTGGGGAGTCCTCTGCGGCGCAGCTGCTTCAGGTACGTCCATGGCAACGCGGAAGCACAATGCACAGGTTGTTCGATCTCATTCCTTGGTGACCTCGTCCAAGCGAGGTGTTGCGTGACAGGGTCGCCGGTGTTGCTTGTGGACGCACGGCTCGACAAGCCGTGGCGGGATGGATACCCATGACGAAAGCATCAGCTTGGTTTGCGATTCGGCCGCCTCATGAGATTTGTTTGTTACATTTGAAGGCAACTACCACTGGTGGAACCCATTTGGAGGAGGGGACGTGAGCTTTGACCTTGGCTCTCAGGACCTATTGAAGGCCCTTGGATGCATGATTCTGTCCGGACCCTTCCTGACGGGATACACTCAGGTAAGTCTGGTTATAGAGACGCGTTTGCCTATCTTCGTTGAACGCAGGTTTGTCTTGTGAATTGGCATGAAATATCAAGGAGAATATATAGTATACCATGTAGAGGCCGCTTGGTTTTATTCTAGGCTGACTTGGATAACGCTCCTGAAGTGATCTTCACACGGTGCGTTGAACACGCTGTGTACGTTCTGTATGATCCGCTCCCAGTTTCGGTTGCTTCCTCCTTGCCTACGCTCGACCCTGGGCTACAGATTCAGGCGGGTTTTTCTACGTCAAGCAAGCATCAACCTGTAGCGGCTGTTGTTGTTTTTTTTTTGTTTGTTTTTCTCCCATCATTGGACTCTGTCGTCTGCCCCTCTGGCCCCTATCCTCCACTTCTACTAGCTAGACGACCCAACCGGGGTCACATAGGAGGGGGGGGTTGAACCCCCTCCTGCGGTTCATGCCTGAGGTATTTTTATCGCGAGAAGGGTACAGCAATCCCTTCCCTCGCGACTTACGAAGTCGATTATGGTTTACTAACAAACGAGCTTTGCAGCGCGTCGCTTTCATCCTAGACCAGGATTTATTTGGTCAGTAAAAAACTCTCTGTCGGGACTCGAACCCATGACCTGGCCCTTAGCAGGCTGCGAGGCTACCCACTAGACCACCGGGGCGACCGGTTGTGTAAACCACCAATTGCGTGCCTGTGCCCCTGTCGTTGGCGTTCAATTACTGCCGGAAGATTTTGCGGGGCCGGGTTCAACGCTCGTAGACCCTCCCTTCGCGATGTAACGAGGATCATGAGGATCGAAGCAGGGTATAGTTTATCTCTCTGGGGTGCAAAGAACGAACCTGTTGACACCCTTGCGTGTCTGAGCCGATCTGTTGACCTCGCCCGATGTTTTGCGCATCTCTTCGCGCAGACCATTAACGATTGGTACGACAGGGATATCGATGCAATCAACGAGCCATACCGCCCTATCCCATCGGGAGCCATCTCAGAGGTCAGTAAGTAGTTTTTTTTGGCGGACGAACTTTCTTGCGGTGTTAGATCAGGCTTCTTCGGACTTTGCCCCATGCACGCGTCACCGCCCCACGTGTCGTGGATCTACTCTTTTGAATCTGAATGCTATTGTACATATACATGCTCTTCGCGACCTAAGCGTATCAATCCGCTGGATGGATGGATGTGAATCTCCTTGTGCCTAGGGGCGGGTGCATTCCTGCGGGGCGAGCGTCGTGGCTACAAGCAGCCGTGCCAAAGCATTGGCTCGTCGAATCCCGATCCGTCGCCACGAACGTCTCCGCGTGCCCCAACCAACGAATCTCTCACCAACTGTCGCTTTTTTTTTTCCCGCAACAGAAACAAGTGATCGAGCAAATCTGGTTTTTGCTTTTGGGCGGGCTCGCGATCGCGTACGGTCTTGACGTGTGGGCCGGCCACGACTTCCCCATGGTATTCGCTCTCTCCGTGGGAGGGTCCTTCATCTCGTACATCTACTCGGCGCCGCCGATCAAGCTGAAGCAGAACGGTTGGTTGGGCAACTATGCCCTAGGTTCGTCTTACATCTCGCTGCCGTGGTGGTGCGGGCAGGCTATGTTCGGAGAGCTAAACATCCAGGCGAGAGCTCACCTAGACATGTCGAACGTGTCTGCCGGGTGATAGCAGCAGTTGTTTCGTTGGAGTTTGCAGGTTGTTCGCCGCGAAAGCGTATGACATGTTTTGTGGACGATTGGTCTGCTTTTTGACGTTTTCGTTGCATGTCGCGTGAAACGGGCGAAGCTGTTTTTTGGTGGCTTGGGCGCTGTCTCTTCGCGTCTTGGCGCTGCTGGTGGCTACTTGTGATAGTTTTCTATCGTATCGTGTGCGATTTGTGCTGTGGTTACTTTTTATCCTCATGTGTAGCAGTCGCTTTCTTTTGTACCACTCCATGACTCGTGTACAATGTACGCCAGCCTAAAACGCTGACATTGTTCGACAACAACCACTGTACCTTAAAGTTCGGTTGTAACCGAAACCTCCCGACGATGCATCCTCCGACCCGACTTCGATTCCAGGTGGTTATCCTCACCCTCTTGTACTCGTGGGCGGGCCTTGGAATCGCGATCGTAAACGATTTCAAGAGCGTGGAGGGTGACAGGGAGATGGGTCTCCAGTCGCTTCCCGTGGCATTTGGGGTGGAGAAGGCCAAGTGGTTGTGCGTGGGCTCCATCGACGCCACGCAGCTGGGCATCGCTGCGTGGCTGTACTATATCGGAGAGCCGACGTACGCGGCCATCCTGACCGCGCTCGTCTTGCCGCAAGTGTTCGCGCAGTTCAAGTACTTCTTGCCCGATCCCGTCGGGAATGACGTCAAGTAAGTGTGACTACGACAATCTCTCGGGCCTGGTGTACCGTATATCTTTGACATGAAGGGCTCACCAGCCGTCCCAGAACAGACTCTCAGCCGCGCGACAAGCGTGACTTCTTGGCCCCGCGCCAGAGAGTACGACGTGCAGGGTGTCGACATGGATTTAGGTAGAGGTTGCGAACATGTTGGCTCAAGGGGTTGATGTGGAAGGCACACGTCTTTTCTGCGGTTGTGTTAGATCTCTCTCAGTCCACCCTCGTCGAGATGCCCTAGAAGTACGGAGTAGATAATCGAGATTGACCTTTGAGGTAACATGTTTGCTCTCTCCCTTCCCTCCCTTGTTGGCCCCTCATCCATCCGTGTTGTTGCGCTGCAGGTACCAGGCGACGGCCCAGCCCTTCCTGGTGTTCGGCATCCTCACGACCGCTTTGGCCGTGGGACATCACACCTTCTAGAGACAGACTGCCGGAGATAGCACAGGCCAACTAAATAGTAGACCGTAGAGTTGGCGCGGCTAATCTATTCGTTTGTGTTCACTTTGGTTGTTCGCGTCACCTGGTACTGGTTTCTAGAGTTTGAACGAACGAACCTTGGCTTGATATAGCGCAGGGTTGTATTTGTCGCCATCTGCAGCATTCGAGTATCAGAATAGATATTACACGTCCTTGCTGTTTAGTTTTTTTTACATGGGTTGAGTTTTTGTGCACAACTGACCACCTCTCCTCGCGAAGATGAACACAGACCGTGGACATTTCGCAGACATGTTCCGTTGTGCAGTTAGTGCTGTGGCGTGGTTGGTTGACATTGATTTTTGCGGGAAACAGCATGGGAAACTGGTTCTTCTGTGCAATAGAAACCTTAGCAACGACCACTGCAAGAGTTCATCGTGCCCGTTGGTGCCGTATGGCACAGCAGTAGAATCAATTGCACGATACACGGCTGTCATGTGCTTTTCATGGACATGCCAAGTACCCATGAAAGGGCGGCAGTTCAAAAGAACACTGTCCCTGGCGGTCACTGCTTTTGCGACCAGTGTCATGTACAAGCTGAAAGTTGTCGAAGCGGCAGTCAGCCCTGTGGGCACTCATTCCGATCCCCCCCCCGTGCGGCCGGCTGAGACGTACTGTAATAACCGATCATGCACCAACCTAAAGCCCTTGCATTGTTTTTGTTTTTTATGTTCTCTTGAGACATATCATACTAACAGTCTACCGTAGTGTTGTACAATCGGCTACCCGATCTCGAAAGAAAAAACACTACATATATACTCTCTCCCGGTCTATGTATACCCCTCCTGCATCGTCGATCAGGTAGGTACACAGCAAAACGAAGTGAAGCACAGCCGATTTCACTGCGAAAAAGGCCATCTCTTGGCAAGGTGACGCAACATCTCTAGGCAGCCGTGTTCCTGAGGAACAGCCTGACTGACCGGAAGATATCGCGCCCCACGTGCCGAAAGTTCGAATCCTGCCCGCAGCTCACCGACACAGGAGCAGCGTCGTTTACGTTGAAGGTGACGAGGTCTACACAACACCACTCACCTCCTCCTTCACGACCATTATTTATCTTTATCGCCAACCAACGACGAAAATAAGACAATGCGATCAAGACTTGCCTCCATAGTCTATGCATATACCTGCCTTTCCATCCGATTCCCAACAATAATTGGCTTTTTTGGTGCATCTGGAGCACCACAGCCAATCAAAAACTAAAAAAACAAATTGTTCTCGCTGTCAGCGGCGATGCCCCATCTCGACGTCTGTCTATCTGGGTCTGTCGAGTTGCTTGCGACCAACACAAAAAGAGACCTCAAAAGAGATATTACCAACCGGCATGCAAAAACCAAGCTATCGCCTACTTTCCCACCGACCCTCCAAACGCACCCAATTGATTCCTTGGGAGAACAGGGGGTGTTGTTGACCCTTCGTCCTCTTCCACTGAGATAAGACATCGCACACGACCGTTCGAGTGTTGTAGGAGACAGTTGCTGCTACGCAGACAGGACATTCGAACTCCCAACCAACCATGTGGACATGCACAACTCCTCACAAAATCTAAACTGAAATAAACAATCACTCGGGCCAGCGAGATCGTGTAGCCGACGCTAGCCTTACATGCGCTCTTGTTGAACCACAACAAAATCTACTGCCTCTTGCACATGGGAACGGGGGAAAATGTGCACGGGTGGTGAGCGGTGTATTCAAGCGCACGCATATTCGATGAAATTTTATACTGTATTTGTACATCAGTTGCTACCTACCTGCTGTATTATTCCGCCCTCGTTAACGCCAACATTGGCATACCAAACGTACTTCAGACCAGCAAGATATGAGTTGAGACGAATCGCCAAGAAATGGTTCTCGGTAACGTCGGCTGCCCTGCCACCCCCCCCC